GAGGGGGGGGGCCCTCACCCACTGCTCCCCGATCTTTGAACCAGAGCAGACCCCGCCCCCACACGGCCCCAATCTGTCCCAGGACGCATGACGGGGAACTATACTTTTATCTCGTGTGTATATGTCTGACTGGTACAAGTTCTCAGGGTGCTCCAGTTTACTGCGGCGTCCACTGCTCCTGAGGCCCTGGTGGTTTTGAAGGGGGGGGTCATATGTGGTGGGAGGAGAAATGTTCCATCCATCCATCCATCCATTTTCTACCCTTTAATCCATTTCTGGGTCAGGGGGGTGGCAGTCAGAGATGCCACCCAAGTCTCATAGCACCAGCCCCTCACTGACCCTCTGCAGGTGGTGAGTCCACAGGAGGACGGCTGCTCTCTGAGTGTGAGCATAGCCTTGATCTTTCAGTGGGGGCTTTGGGCAAAGTGGGGTTAAGTGTCTTGCCCAAGGACACAACGACAGCAGTCATCAGTGGGAGTCGGTGGAGAAGGTGCAGAGGTGGGAATTGAACCCACGACCTTCAGGCCTGAAGGCCAATGCTCTACCAACTGAGCTACTGTCGCCCCTCGAGAAATGTTCCTACGGTGACAATAAAGTTATTTAACAAGGTGTCCTCCGGGTGCTCCGGTTTACATTAGCAACCTCTAACCTGAATGAGTGCTTTATTTTGAACAGAAAAGTGTGACCTCCCATTGCAAGCTAAAAACGTGAGCGAGAGATCTGCTCCAATGGACAGTCAGGCTGTAGACCCAGGACTGAGGCTGTAGACCCAGGACTGAGGCTTTACACCCAGGACTCAGGCTTTAGATCCAGGACTGAGGCTGTAGACCCAGGACTGAGGCTGTAGACCCAGGACTGAGGCTGTAGACCCAGGACTGAGGCTTTACACCCAGGACTCAGGCTTTAGATCCAGGACTGAGGCTGTAGACCCAGGACTGAGGCTGTAGACCCAGGACTGAGGCTGTCGACCCAGGACTCAGGCTGTAGATCCAGGTCTGAGGCTGTAGATCCAGGACTGAGGTTGTAGACCCAGGACTGAGGCTATAGACCAGGACTGAGGCTGTAGACCCAGGACTGAGGCTGTAGATCCAGGACTGAGGCTGTAGACCTAGGACTGAGGCTGTAGACCCAGGACTGAGGCTGTAGATCCAGGACTGAGGCTGTAGACCTAGGACTGAGGCTGTAGACCCAGGACTGAGGCTGTGGACCCAGGACTGAGGCTGTAGACCCAGGACTGAGGCTGTAGCCCCAGGACTGAGGCTGTAGATCCAGGACTGAGGCTGTAGACCTAGGACTGAGGCTGTAGACCCAGGACTGAGGCTGTGGACCCAGGACTGAGGCTGTGGACCCAGGACTGAGGCTGTGCAGTGCAAGCCTGGAGAGGCTCTCAGGCACGCTGCCTCTGAGTCCAGGCCATAAGAGACCAGTTCACAAATCTGCTCAAAAGAGACGAGGATCATGGGTCCGACTATCACGGCATAATAAATAGTTTTACATTGATAACCCTAAACAATCATGTGGTGAAATGTAAAAGAAAACCCTAAATGCAGGATTGACAATAAAATGTTAAGTATCAAATAAATCCAAGGTGACGCCAAAGCAGAAAAGTCTTGAACTGAAAACAAGCCATAAACAAACGTGGCTTAGACAATGGACGGGCAAAGAATGGGAAAAGCACAGGGAATAAACAGACTCAAAATGCAGCTCAAGATAATCCAAAAGTCCACACCAGAACCGCAGTCTGTCAAGTCTGTGTTTTTGACCTGACTAACTCTGTAAAACTCCCAAAAACACACCCACACATCAGAGCGTCTCATCAGAGCGTCTCATCAGAGCGTCTCATCAGAGCGTCTCATCAGAGCGTCTCATCAGAGCGTCTCATCAGAGCGTCTCATCAGAGCGCCTCATCAGAGCGTCTCATCAGAGCGCCTCATCAGAGCGCGTCATCAGAGCGCCTCATCAGAGCGTCTCAGAGCGCCTCATCAGAGCGCCTCATCAGAGCGCCTCATCAGAGCGTCTCATCAGAGCGCCTCTCAGAGAGCGCCTCATCAGAGCGCCTCATCAGAGCGCCTCATCAGAGCGTCTCATCAGAGCGCCTCATCAGAGCGCCTCATCAGAGCGCCTCATCAGAGCGCCGTCTCATCATCATCAC